CATGATGGATTCTTGGAGATGGATACAACTGTGATACTGTAAGTAATTTCTTAGGAATGCCATTGCAATGTAACATTAATTCATGCCCACTTATTATTAAATGTCACAGAATATTCTGCTGCTTTACTGCTGTTTTTTTCTTTTTTAAAACTAAGCCAGTGTATGATATCAGTGTGATATATGTATGGTCATGTGAAGCCATTATGATAATTATATCTACAGTTTGCATATGGTTACCTTAAATTTTAATTTCATATTAGTGCTTCTGAAATCTACAGCTTTGTGAAAGCTCAAATGTAGATCTGTAACTTCTCTGATGCTTACCCTGCTCCCACTAAAATCAATTAAAATTTTTCCATGTACTTCAGTAGGAAGAGGCTCAGGCTCATTATGACAACACAGGAATTTTCTGGCTATCAATAAAACAACATTGCCCATTATGTATCATTAACTGGGATTGTTCAAATTCCATCCTCTGCCAGTTGGTTCAGTTTTCATGTTTAGGGAAGCAGGACAGTGGGGAAGAATGGCTTCATCGTTAAGGCACTGAACTGAGACTCAGTAGTCCACAGTTCACTTTCAGGTTTGGTCATGGGTTTCCTCTGAGCTTGAGGAAGCCACTTCTTCTCTTTTCTCATTCCCATTTATAATACAGAATGATAATACATGCCTCTCTTGCAGGAAGGTTGTGAAGATAAATTCATTAATAGTTAGTAGGGTCACAGAGGCTACAGTGATAAGGGCACTGTAAGGACATGGATAGTCTTACTCGAATATCCTGCTGCATGGGGTTACCTTTTCCTTGCACTGTAGAGCTATTCAACTATTGCTTCCTTAAAATCCCCTTGTTCAAGAAGTGCTTCTTTCACCCTTTTCCTTAGCAGCAGTCTTTCCCCACTTTTTCTTTCTTGATCCATTTTCTTCTCCAAATGCATGTATATTGCATCTATTACAGGTTTATTTATTTATGCATGCAATTTACATTATAGCTCACCATGGGAGATGAGAAATTATATACGTCTATGTGACTGAAAAGCATTCTGTGTTATGTATGTGCAGACAGTTAACAAGAATAATAATCAGACTAGCTGATACATACACAAGAAACTATGATGTTTGGTTGTTTGGCTTATTTTTATTCAAATATGGATAGTTAAAGGTCTTATATCTATAGACTGGGTTCACAAAAACTCACATTCATTTCAGTAGGTGGTATTATCTTCATTCTGGTTTTCTAGGATGGACTGCAGTCTTGGACCTTCCATTTGTAGTGGTGCAAACAGTCTATTACGTGATTTCTTGTAGCAAAATAGGATGCTTAGGTAAATTTTCAGAAGGCCCTTCCTCAGTCCTGTAAGCGTGTCTGCACATTCCCACATTTCTAACTGAACATGCATACACAGACTGTGACTTGTTCTTGCAAGATGTGTTCACCTGTACAAATAGGTTGTTAGGAAGGCACATGTTTTGCATTCATTACTGTGGAGCTGAAAATTGTTCCCACCATAGTCAGTGACTAGATTTCCCTGGTAAGAGGCGTGGGCTTATTTTGAAAAATTCTATTGGGAAAAGGTGGAAAGTTGGAGACATCATTTTAGACAGTGCTTTATGATATTTAGCCCTTAGTGGTAAATTGCCAGACTTTTGAAGGAGTGGACAATAGTTTCTGATCAAACCTTTGTGCAAAAGCAAACCCTAATTTTTTTCAGATTGGCACATACTATTAAAAGCAATTTGCATGCATCTGAGCTTGTGCACATTTTACACAAGCAAAAAAAGCACAAGAACTTTTGAAAGCCAACCCATATGTCACATAATGATACAAAGGAGTGATTCCCATAATATGGCTACCATATACAGGTTTTCCAGAATCTGTTTGATTCTGATCTCCCAATGTGTACCAGTGTGAATCAAGAGTAGCTCCATCAACCTCAGTGGTGTAACTGCTTTAAATAAGACCTGAACCCAGTGATAAGTCTTCAGATTTATTAGTATGTAATTTCCTGGATCCCCTTCCCTGGTAAACACTTCCTCAAGCTTGCATTGACAGAGATTAACTGTAGGCACTACAGAGTTTCCATGACACAATATACATCAATGTAAATTAGAAGTTAAAAGTAATACCTGCTACACCTTTTTGTATTGCATTGGGCATCTCTTTGGTATGAAGTACCCTTGTATCTCACATCGCTTGGCCATCTCTTGGTAGCCAGTGACTCTTCTGAATGGCTTTTGCCTCAGCTGCTGTTTCTGTGCCCTCTGTCAGCATAGAACCTCTACCAGTCCTTGGACTTCCATCTACTTGGCTTGTGAGTAAAAGAACATTCTCTACGAACATTATAAAACTAACATCTCTTAATATTACTTCTCCATCCACTCAGTGGTTTATATAGCACACATGTAGACTTTCAGAAAGTAGTAGATTTCAAGGAAGAATTTGAAGCATAGGGCATGACATGAGCAAAACTGAGAACCTGGGAATGCGAGAAACAGACCGATGGCAGTGGTTAGGAAAGAGTATTTAAATAATCTGAAATAATAATGTGGAAAGAAAAAGGAAATAAGAGGAGCAATTTTTAGGTTGGGCAAAAATTTGCGAAGAGCACTATTAAGCGGCTTAGTATCATAGAACCTTAGAGAAATAGGGCTGGAAGGGACCTAATGAGGTCATTTAGTCCAGCCTCCTGCTCAAGGCAGGATCATCCCTGACAAACCATCCCAGCCAAGTATCTGTATAATACACTCTTGAAAACTTCCAAGGATGGGGATTCCACAATTTCTCTAGGTAGCCTGTTCCAATACTTGGACACCCTCCTGGAAAGTTCCTCTTAATCTCCATCCATATTTCTTCTGCTGCGGCATAATTGCCCTTCAGGTATTTAAAAATAGTTATCAAATCCCTAATCAGTGTTTTCTTCTCCAGACTAAATAGCCCCGAGTGCTTTCAGTCTTTCCTCATAAGTCTTGCTCCCTGGCCCCTAATAATTTTTTTTTGCTCTATATTGGCCTCTTTCCAAACTGTCCACATCCTTTTTGAAGTGTGGGTCCCAAAACAGGACACAATGGTCCAAGTGAGGCATCACCAGTGCTGAATAGAGCAGAACAATCATTTCCCTTGACTGGCAAGTGACAGTCCTTTTGATACAACCCAGTATCCTACTGTCTTTTTTTGCAAGAAGTGCACACTGTTGGCTCATATTCATCTTATGTTCTGCTATAACCCACAGCTCCTTCTCTGCATTACTACAGCCTAGCCAGTTATTCCCCAGTCTATATTTATATATGCAGTTATTCCATGACAAGTGCAGGACTTTGCATTTACCCTTGATTGACCTCATCTGATTGATTGTGGAGCATTTCTCCAGCCTGGTCAAGTCCTTAATTCTAATCCTACTCTCTATCTGCAACTCCACCCAACTTGGTGTTGTCTGCAGATTTACTAAGTGTTCACTCAACCCCATCATCCAAGTCACCAATGAACATGTTAAATAATACCAGACCCAGGACAGGCCTCTGTGGAACCCCACTTGATACCTCCTCCCAACTAGACACTGAACCATTGATGACAGCTCATTGAGCATCCAATCAGTTATGTATCTACCTTACAGTACTTTCATTTCATTTAGTATGTATTTCCTTATCTTGTTAATGGGAATGTCATGAGAGGCAGTGTCAAAAGCTGCGCGTATATCCATCCACTGGTGTTCCCCATCCACAGATCCTATCGCCTTATAATACAAGGAAATCAAGTTGATCAGACATGACTTGCTCTTGGTGAATCCATGCTGGCTGTTCACCTTGTTCTCCTCTAGATGCTTCACAGTGGATTCCATGAGGATCTGCTCCATGATCTTTTCAAGTATAGAGGTCAGGCTGACTAGTCTGTGGTTCTCCAGATCCTCTTTCTTTCTTTTCTTAAAAATGTGCATTATATTTGCTCTCTTCCAGTCATTCAGGACCTCACCTGATCTCAATGGCTCCAAAATTACCTCAGCTAATTTCATCAGTACCTTAGGGTGCATTCCATCCAGACCGGCCAAATTAAAAGCATCTAGCTTCTCTAAGTAATCCTTAGCCTGTTCTGCTATTACTGTAGATTGTTTGTCTCCTTCCCTGTCTTTGCTGCCAACTGCACTTGTCATCTGATAGTTGCCCCTGTTTGTGAAAGCTGAAGTAAAGAAGGCATTAAATACTTTAGGTTTCTCTGCATCATCTGTAGTTAGATTGCCTTCTGCATTCCATAAGTGACCCATGGTTTCTGTGGTCTTCCTCTTACTTTTGATATAGAAGCTCTTCACTAGTGCTGTGCCCAAATTGACATTTTTATAGGATTCCTTTTTGAGTTTCAACTCATTGAAGTGATTGGTGACTAGCCAGACTGGTCTCCTGTTGCACTTCCCATTCTTCTGTTTCCTCAATAAAGTAATGGACAAGAAGCTAGTGAAATAGGGGAGACTGAGAGCAAAAGCGTGGAAGAGGGTAGTTATTTAGAAGCAATCAGGTAAGAACAAAGTGAAATGTATATTAGTCCCTATTATTCAGTGTTGTTGAAGATACAGGACTGGTTTACAGGAGAATATTGGTGATAGTGATTACCTACTCATTTTCTTTTAGTTTTAATGAAAGATAGGGATCTAAATCCTCTGAACTGCTCTGAGCTGCTCTGAACTGCTGTGCAATATTTGACATCACCTTTTGCACAGTACTTGCCAGTGTGGACTTACTGATGACACCTACTTGAAGTGTTTAATGGACAGTGGTCCTAAATGAATATAATTATGAAAATAGAACTATCTTCATAGTACATACATAAAAAAAACCTACTGACAAATGGTATAACATTGAATTTCTCTTCTCAAACAATTATGAATGATTCATCTGAAATTGTAATCTGTTTGTCTATATACTTACGTCAAATGTCTAGACAAACATTTTCGTCAAGGGAAGGGTCCTAATTTTCCTTAATAAATTCCATTTTCCTTAATGAAACTTCCATTCAGACATTGTAGATATAAAGCCAGCCAATATGGAGGACCTGACGGAAGTGATTACTGCCTCTGAGTTTCATCCCCATCATTGCAATCTCTTCGTCTACAGCAGCAGCAAAGGCTCCTTGAGACTCTGTGACATGAGGGCGTCAGCCCTCTGTGACAAACATTCCAAACGTAAGTAGCTAGGCTGTGTCTCACCACACGCATTTGTTAAAAGCTTATTATTTATAGACAGCCTATGTGTACCTGCAAACGTTTTAGCTTGTCAGTTGCAGGTACACTTTAGAAAATGGTACCACAGCAAAATCATGAAGATTGGACAAATTGAATGGAGCAAATTGTTGAATGTGTGCAAGAGTTATTTATGCACTTGATTGCAACCACTCCTCTAACTATGTAATTTGTATTACAATGCAGAGTGAAAAACCCACAACCCTCTATCAAAAGACAGATGGCTGGCAATAAATTAGATATTCCCTCTATGGAGGGTCTATTAAATGATTGCTCAGTTTAAATGTGGAACTGCTTTTTGAGTGCTGGGATAAGTACATTTTCATCACTTGTACTGCAAACAAAAATGCAGGCAGGGAAGTATTTTTAAGGTGCATGAAAGCCTGTCTTGAAAATTTGGCCCCAGACTTCTCAGGTGAATATAAATTTCTAAGCAGTCTCAGATGTTCCAAGGTTATTTCAAAACTGAACAACAGGAATGAGGAAGTTTGATGCTAGAAAAGCTATGCCCTAGTTATTGTGATATGATTTTATGTATCTTGAGATTTGTTTTAAGGAGGTTTAAATATTTTATCTGAGGGCCAAATGGGGAATGCGGAATCTGCAAAGGAAAAATGGGGTTATTGAAAGTTCATGATCACAGCAGAAAAAAATGTTAACATGAAGTATCTTGCTTTATGAACAGTTTGTAAGGGATTATGTGAGGTATATAATTCATAACTTACTCATCTGACTATTTGTTCAGTTTCATCCAGATAAAAGAGAATATGATAGTGGAGCCTTTTGACATCTAGCCGGAGAATAAATTAAACAGGTTAGTTTTAAAACTACTAGCTATTTGATGGAGAGGATACTTGTCACATGCAAGGATGTTTCAGAAAGTAATGGTAATATTGAAATAAAAGTGTGTTGCGTGCAATGCTGTGTAGTTTCCAGCTTTACTGCAGATATACAGTATGGGTAGCCATTTTGCTATGCGTTTCTGAAACACCCTTATATAGTAAAAAAGCAGACTAAAGCCTAGATCCAAAAAAAAAAAAAAGATTTAAGTGCCATCTAGTCTCCTAAATCCAGAGTTGTAATACCGAAAAACTTCCAGCTGCCTCCTAAAAAACTCAGCTGCCTCCTAGTTCTGAAGGCACTCCTTAGGCACCTCCCCTTAGACGTAAAAGTGTTCTAGGCATAGAATCAAATAAAAGTAGGGCTGGAAGGGACTTGAGTAAGTCACTAGTCCCACCCCTTGCTTCAGGCAGAATCATCTTGCTCAAGGCAGCCCATAGCCTGGCATTGTCTAACCTGCACTTAAAAACTTCCAGTGATGGAGATGAGATTCCACAGCCCCTGTAGGGAATCTGTTCCAGTGCTTAACCGCCCTGAAGTTCTTTCTAATACCTAAACTAAATGTCCTTTGTTGTAATTTAAGACAGTTGCTTCTTGTCCCATCCCTGTGGGGCCAGAAAATATTGTGTCACCACCCTCTTCATAGTAAACCTTTATCTCCTCTCAGTCTCTTCTTCTCCAGACTAAATAATCACAGTGAATTCATTCTTTTCTTGTTAGTCATGTTTCCTAGAATTTTGCTTTTTCTGTGGCTCTCCTTTGGACTCTTTCTAGTTTAGCCACATTTTTCATGCAGATAATAAAGTGCTGAAGACTGAACATGGTATTCTCGGTGAGGCCTCAGCCATGCTGGATAAAATGGAAGAGGAAGAATCAGTGCTGTAGCCTCTTTTAATACATGCCACTATGCTATTGGCTTTTTCTTTTTGTGACAGCAGCACACTATTGACTGATATTCAGCTTGTAATCCACTATAAACTCCAGGACCTTTTTCCTAGTACTGCAATTGTTCCCCAATTTGTGTTTGGACATTTGATAGTTCCATCCTAAATGCAGAACTTTGCATTTGTCCTTATTTAATTTTATCTGATTAATTTTTAACCATTTCTTCAATTTATCAAGATAATTTTGAATCCTAATCCTATCCTCCAGAGTATATGATACTTCACCATCATAGTTTCATAGTTGGTAGGGTCAGAAAGGACCTAAGCAGATCATCAAGTCCGACCCCCTGCCATGGCAGGAAAGAGTACTGGGATCAAATGACCCCAGCCAGGTGTTTATCCAGTCTCCTTTTAAAGACCCCCAGGGTAAGAGCCAGCACCACTTCTCTTGGAAGTTGGTTCGAGATCCTAGCTGCCCTGACTGTGAAAATAGCACCTCCTGATGTCTAGCCTGAATCTACCCTCTGCCAGCTTGTGACCGTTATTTCTTGTCACTCCTGGGAGTGCTCGGAGGAACAGGGACTCCCCCATTGCCTGCTGGTCCCCCCTGACTAGTTTGTAAATGGCCACTAGGTCCCCACTCAGCCTTCTCTTGTGGAGGATGAACAGGTTCAGGTCCCTTAGCTTCTCCTCGTAGGGCCTGCCCTGCTGCCCCCAATCATGTGGGTGGCCCTCGTCTGGACCCTCTCCATGTTATTCACATCCCTCCTGAAGTGCTACGCCCAGAACTGGATGCAGTACTCCAACTGCGGCCTGACCAGTGTCACATAGAGGGGGAGGACCACCTCCTTGGACCTGCTCGTGATGCATCTGTGGATGCATGACTAGGTACGGTTGGCCTTCCTGACCGCATCCCAACACTGTCTGCCCATGTTCATTTTGGCATCAATAATAACTCCAAGATCCTTTTCTGCCTCTGCACTGACGAGAAGGGAGTTCCCCAGCCTGTAG